CTCCCTCTCTACCTCTACCTATATTCCTGTCTCTTTCTATTTCTCNCTTTTCATTTCTTAACCCCACCTCCGGTTGCGCGCCTTTATACTGGCGTTCCTCCGATCTCCCGTCTGCGGTTGCGCGCCTTCATCGGCGTTCTTCCGATTCTCCGCCTCCGGTTGCGCGCCTCCATCGGCGTTCCTCCGATTTTCCGCCTCCAGTTGCGCGCCTCCATCGGCGTTCCTCCGGTTCTCCTCCATCGGTTGCGCGCCTCCATCGGCGTTCCTCTGATTTTCCGCCTCCGGTTGCGCGCCTCCATCGGCGTTCCTCCGGTTCTCCTCCATCGGTTGTGCGCCTTCGTAACGGCGTTCCTCCGGCGGGAAACCACCACCTCTCCTCGAACTGGCATTGAGCCGCCAGTCCTCACCGATCTCCTCCAAGTCGTCAACACCAGTTACCTGGTCTGAACCCCGCAAAAGAAAGGGGGACCTTCTCCGTCGTAACCAACCTCAGTTCCCAGTCGTTCCAGGGGCAATTTCGCAGGGTACCCTCGAACAGACGGAATCTCATTCTAAGATTGGCACACAGCGAAAACTTACCGCTCTCACGTTTTCAAATTACTATTAACTTTAGTTATTTCTTTCGGTCTGATAAAGTAGTTAACGTAATTACTTTTGATTTGCCACTTACTCGTTCCATTTTCAGATTAAGGTTAACCGCAGTCAAATTACTCTCGGGTCTCCCTACTACAATTATATCAATCAGAAGTTGCCAAGAATGCAGTGATGACGGCAATGAATCGATTATTATAATCGAAGAATCCATCTGAGCATTCTACACAAAGACAGCGTCTGAAGCCTTAATCTCACTTCACCCCCGTGACTTTGAAACAATTACTGTTCTCTGAGTGCCAATTTAAGGGGATTTATATTAATTAATAGTAAATTAGCACTAGTCACCATTATGACTAACAGCATGCATTGCTTCCCCCACTGTATAACACTGCTAATTCGAGATGCTTCCTGCAGGCACTCCCAGAAATGGGCAGATCGCGACGAGCTGGACGCTTAGTCCAGCTCCGCCGACTAACACGAGCGTACGCTACCCCTGGGGTCTTTGACCCCAGGATTTTTGATAGGCCACTTGAGCCCCCTGAACCGAGGATCCAGGATCCTTCACAGCAACCTCCGGTCCCATGTCGGACCCATCCACTTCCCTCACCGGAGTCACTGCCCCCGCACCAGCTCATACCCCCTTCTCCCCCGCTTTCCATGAAATCTCCGCTAGCCCCCGGCCACCCACACCTCCTGCCATTACGCCAGGCGCCTGATCCTTGCCCGATCAGGGCGTGGGCACCTCGCCCGCCGATCACCCCCGCTCCTAGGCCCCCCAAGGCCAGCGTCGTCAGGGCGCCCCCAGCATTACCGGCAGAGCGGACGAAGAGGCCCGGGCCGGAACCACAGGCCCTGCGAGGAACCCTGGCCCAGCGCACGGTCCGACCCTGCACAGTGCGGATAGAGGCTCTCCCCCAGAAGGTCCGACTCGTGAAGCGGCCCAGGAACCAACCACGGGAGAGCAAGGACATGCCTACCCTTCTCTAGTTTTGCCTTTTTTGTGTGTGCCCCTCTCTCTCCCGTTTGTATATAGTCACTCGCTCTTTCATAATATATAGTTTAGTTCCTTCCAAGATGTTCTATTCATTCAACTAACCACCCAACCTATTCTCTCATTTCCCTTGTCTCCCAGCGAGACACGCGTCCCCATAAAAATCGGACGTAACAGGGGGAAAGGAGGTCGTCGAGCCGAAACATAATGAAAAGAAAAGAAAACGTGTGGCTTACTATTGATTGAGATCGTCGAAAGCTGGTGGATTCTCCGGTCAGATTCGCAGTCCGTATGCCGAAATCGCGCACAGATTTTATTTGGACTGGATAAACTTGATATAAAAGAATATAAACGATATAAAAGAATGTTAACTCGGAACTTGGAGAATCGCGGAGAGAATTGTGCTGGTGGAGTCGGGAGCTGCCAAAGAGACTGAGCCAGCAGGCTCCAGGTTTATATACGATTTTTCGGGGGTGGATCTTGGTCATGGGACGTGGAAGGAGATTTTGGATTTTGGTTTTCCATTGGTGGACTATTGGGAGGTGTCGGGGAGTTGTCTTTCTTATTGGCAACCCGACCATTAAGTCGTTGTCGCCCTTTGATATTTATTTATGGGCATCATTTCCTTCAGCGACTTTCGAAAAAATCCCGAGTTTCACTTTTGGGTCAATTTTAAAAATCTAATCTGCCGTCTGAAAGGGCCTGATCCCATCCTGTCTGTTATCTCTCCCCTTTTTGTTATTTCAACGGTTATCGACCAGCAACAATCAGGGCGCTCGAGTTTCGAAAAGTGAAACTCTGGCAATAAATTTTTTGTGGGGAGGGGACTCACGCGTTGGCTAGTCGATATTCGCTGATTTCCAAGGGAAGAAAAACGTTGTTTCTTATGGTTTTTGAAAGAGAGAAATCGTGGAGTCCACAGGACGTAACACTTTATTAGTAAGTAAGACTATGTAACTTTTCGTAACTTCAGGTAACATATAGTAACTTTTCGTAAAATATCTTCGCCTTAACATTTTTCTTTTTGTTTTACAGTTCTTTTTACAGTATTTTATAGGTAATACATGCAGGTAACATATACATAGCAACAGTTTGTAAAATATCTTCGCTTTATCATTTTTACAATTTTAACTTAGGTCCTTTAAGATATAAAATCAATTAGAAATTGAAGAGGCCGTTTAGGACCGGGCATAGGTGTTTAATTTAATTTAACTGGCTACTTACACCTATGCCCGGTCCTAAACTGCCTCTTCAATTTCTAATTGATTTTTATCATTTTTGTTTTTCTTTTTTCAGTTCTTTTTGCAGTTTTTTCAATTCAGCCAGCTGCCTTTTTTCTCTTCTCGTTCCAGCTTCTTTTGTTCTTGCGCTCGCTTCTTCTCTTCTTGCACACGTTTCTTCTCTTCTTGCATTTCCTTCCTTCTCTTTATCCTATCTTCTTTTTCACGTAGAATGTTTCTTTTTTTCTCTTCTTTAGATTTTTCGTATTCCACCCACTTATCGGAAGTAGCCACAGTGGGAGGCTTGGGACCGTTGAGGGTCCTCTTCCTTTCTTTGTTTGGAAGATCCGGGGGCCAAAATAGGGCATCTTTGAACGGATCTGGAGTACCTTCGGGGGCTCTGCTGTCGAGTCTCACGCCTGCTGCAAATCAAAAGACGCCAAATACAGGAAAAATTCAAACATTTTTGTATTTCTATACAAACTTGCACCTGGTTCATTTTCCGAAACAAATTGTTCGGTCTCCAAAGTTTCAGTTGCGCATTCGATTTCGATTGCGTCGCCGAATGATTGACCAGTGCCGCTATTTTCGTTGAGATTGATCGTTGCCAGAGTCCCATCGTGTTCGACCGCCAGCACAACGATGTTTTGATCTGCCCCCAAAGTCAGACTCTCATTCGCCGTAATTATTGCAGCGCAATCCGTCGGGGTTCCTCTACGGTCTTCGGCCGTCGTTCTCTCGGCGTCCGTTAACTTTTGATCATCGCTCGGTACCGCTGCATCGTCGATTGTGCCCGAATCTACACTCATTTTTTCGTTGCCTATATATGTATATAAATACAAAAATA